AAAGATCTCTACAGTATGGGCCTTAAAGGACACTTGCCCAATTTTATAAAGAATTTTTTGAATGATAGACATTTTAAAGTACGCTTGGGGTCTACATATTCGGACAATTTTAAACAGGAAATGGGTGTGCCACAAGGAAGTATTTTATCTGTCACATTATTTAGCATAAAAATTAACAGTATAGCAGAAGTGCTTAAAAATGATATGCATGGAAGTCTATATGTCGATGATTTTGTTCTTTGTTTTAAATCCAAAAGTATGAATTATATTGAGCGAAAATTACAGCTTTGTCTAAACAAAATTCAAAATTGGGCTGATAAAAATGGATTTAAGTTCTCAAAAAGTAAAACCGCTTGCGTGCATTTCTGCTCTAAACGGAAAGCACATGATGAACCACATTTGCTTCTAGATAGAATCCCTATAAAAGTAGTAAAAGAGAAAGTTTTTAGGTATTATCTTTGACAGTAAACTCTCTTTTATCTCGCATATTAAAATGCTTAAAGAAAAATGTACAAAGGCATTAGATGTATTAAAAGTTATTGCAAATACAAAATGGGGGGCGGATAAAAATACTCTTTTAAAACTCTATCGTTCTTTAGTTAGATCTAAATTAGACTATGGTTGCATTGTATATGGTTCGGCAAGAACTTCATACATGAAAGCGCTTGACACAGTCCATCATCAAGGCCTTCGACTGTGCTTAGGAGCTTTTCGAACTTCTCCTTTAAATAGTCTATACGTTGAAGCAAATGGGCCACCGCTGGACTTAAGAAGAATCGAACTTACCTTACAGTATATTCTCAAATTGAAGGCAAATGTTAATAATCCTGCTTACGATTGTGTTTTTCATCCGCAATACGAAAACTTAAATGATAAAAGTAAAACATGTATAAAACCTATTGGTCTGAGATCTAGAAAACATATCAGGGATTCTGACTTACCTTTGGACATTATAAAACCTACAAGTTTCTCTGAAATACCGCCATGGAAATTAATTAAACCAAATGTAGACACATCTTTAACTGAATTTAAGAAATCAGAAACCAATTCTCTTGTTTTTAAACAGAAATTAGCCGAAATAAAACAATCTAAAAATTCTACAGTCGAAATTTATACAGATGGTTCTGAAGACAAAAATAAAGTAGCAGCGGCTGCAGTGAATAAAAATAATGTTTTTTCTTTAAGGCTTCCAAATGAAGCTACAATATTTACAGCAGAGGCAAAAGCCATACAGCTTGCATTTGAATATATTAAATCTTCTAATGACAACTCTTTTACAATATTTTCGGACTCGCTTTCTTGCTTGCAATCTATACAAAATATGAATATCGATCAACCATACATTTTAGATATATTAGTTCAGTTCTATCATTTCACTCAACAAGGTAAAGTAGTTGACTTTTGTTGGATTCCAAGTCATATTGGCATCATTGGATACACTAAGGCTGATAGTGCTGCAAAACTGGCACTTCGGTACAAAATTACCATTTTTAAAATTCCTTATACTGACCTAAAATATATTGTGAAACTTTATGTAAATTCTCTTTGGCAGATATATTGGGAATTTTGTGATACAAGTATACTATATGCAATAGAAAACAAAGTTAACATATCATCTAACTTCGGCCTGAAACGTCAGGACGAAGTGATTATTTCAAGAACACGTATAGGTCATTCTAAAATAACACATGCAAACTTATTAAATCGAGAACTTCAGCCAGAATGTATATCCTGTGACTGTCCGCTTACTATAAATCATATTCTTTTAGAATGTTCTGATTTTTCGCCTATTCGAAGTAGACTTTTCAATAATGTACGAACGATGCGTAAACTGTTTACAAATGTTAATGTTAATACAATTTTAGATTATTTACATGAAACTGATTTTTTTATAGTAAAATCTAAAGATACACAATGTAATTAATTTTTTGATAAACACAGAGAGTTTTATTTTAAACTTTTAAAAATATTTTTAAATTTTTAAGTCCGTCGGATGGGACGTTAAATGGTGCCCCGTGTCAAGGATTGCAACCCCCTTGGCACGCAAAAGATCGTTTTTCTGGTTTTCGGAAAAGAGTAGGCTCACTGGGGGCCGCCAGAGAAACCAAAAATCTTTCAAAACCGATCATATAGAATTAATGTTCCGCCGAAATATGGCTGAAATATTGCCGACTCGGCGTTAAACCCTAATCAATCAATCAATGAACCATCTGAGTGTGTAAATATCGGCTGAAGAATCCTTAGAATGTTTTATTTCGGTAAATTTCTGTTTAAAAAAAGAGGATTTGTCTCTCATTTCTTTAATTCAATTGAAGATATATATACACCTGGTTTTGTTAATTTCCATGGCGGTATTTCGGAATAGTTAATAAGTTTAATTATATCCAAAGGTATTTCAGAATCTCTTATGCGTTTTTTATATCTTAGTCCTAAAGGTTTTATACATTATTTACTTTTATCATACAAATCTTCATACTGCGGTTGAAAAACACAATCATTAGCAGGATTTTCGGTATGTGTTTTAATTATACCCCACGCAACAAGGTGTGGGGGATATGTTTTTGACCCCGTCCGTCAGTCCTGTTTTTTTTTGTCAGCGCAACTCCTCAAAAACCGCCACACAGAATTTCATCAAACTTTGCAGATATTTAAGACACAATGTGTAGATGTGCATAATACCAGGAAATTCCGATTCCTTTATTTTTCTGGGAATTTCTGAACTTTTCAACCTAGATTTTTGGCCATATCTTGAATCTAGAGATGAACAGTTTGTCAGCGCAACTCCTCTTTAACCGCTCACAGAATTTCGTCAAACTTTGCAGATATTTAGGACATAATGTGTAGATGTGCATATTACCAGGAAATTCCGATTCCTTTATTTTTCTGGGAATTTCGGCACTTTTCAACTGCGATTTTTGGCCATATCTTGAATACAGAGATGGACATTTTGCAACTCCTTTTAAACCGCTGCACAGAATTTCGTTAAACTTTGCAGGTATTTAGGACACAATGTGTAGATGTGCATATTACCAGGAAATTCCGATTTCTTTATTTTTGCCCTAAGAGTTTTCCTTATTATTGAAGAAACTTTCTAGCTAGGTAATAAGGAAATCCACTAGAATCAGCTTTTGTAATGAAATTTTATGTCAAATATTTTAAGACCTTAAAAGACCCCTATTAATTTTCAAATCAAAATTTATATTAATGATTTAACACACACACAAAATCTTAGATAGTTCTCACACACACCCCCTCCCCTCAAATTGGTGCTTTGCCTTAAATAATATCATGAGTACAGTATATAAACAAATTCATATGACAACATTATAATTTTGTTTCCATCAATTAATTAAATGTGTAAATGGACTTACACTCATTAACAAATCGAAATCACTGAGGAATTTAAATAACAGTTTGTCAGCATAACTCCTGCACTGAATTTCCTGAATCTTTGTAGGTATTTCAGACATAATATATAGATTTGTATATTACCAAGAAATTTTGATTCCATTATTTATCTAGAAACTTCAGCCCAATTAAATTTGTAACGCAAAGATTTGATTGTCCTTATATGCAAGAAGTTTTGATGTGATGATTTTTTGCAAGTAATGCCCCTTTTTGAATTATACTGTGTATTTAAAATGCACTGTGCCATTCTTTACGTGTTGCATTGTCAAGTTTTGGGGGAGCGTGGGGTATGTGAGCTTGCTCACTTTTTCTTTCATTTCAGAATGTATTATAAGGTGAGTTTAATCCTTCGTAAGTCGAGAGGTGGCTCATTTGCTTCGACGTGTAAGCTGTCTATAGGAGTGGTATGAAGGGCTCCTAAACAGAGTCGAAGGCCTTGATGGTGGATTGCATCACGTGTTTTTATGTAAGAAGTCTTTGCTGATCCATATATAATACAGCCATAGTCTAATTTAGATCTTGGAAAGTGCTGCTATAATTGAGTGGTTAACATGAATTGATGACAATACCTTCATCGTATGTACAGAATGTAAAAAAAAAATTGGTAAGGTTTCATGCGAACTTCGGAATATGTTTTTCTGTGTCGGGAGATTCTAGCAGCACTTTTTAGTTTTATTACATTATTATTTTCACTAAAAGATATAAATAATCCACGGGGGTAGTGTTGAACTTTTCACTTTTTCGTTGAGGCAATTTTTCTATTTATAGACATCACGTGATGACGACGTAGTGGAGTGCTTTTTTTTGTCCAAGACTCAACGATGTCTATACAATGTATAATAATAGTGAATGTTTTATCTATGCTTTTCCGAATTATCAATGTTACATTTTATGAAAAGTCAAATTCGCTGAAAAATGATCTGGGTACGACCTGCGTGACGTTTTTCAAACCAATTGTTAGGCCATTATTTACACATTGAATTATCGACGGATTTTTCCGTTATTTACCGATCATGACAAGGAGCACACGGCGGGTGCGACCGGTCGGCAGTGGATGCTCACTCCTCCATGACACCTGATCCCACCTCTGATGTTTTTGGAGATCCGTGTTTGCTCTGCTCCCGATTTGTACATGTATTATTGTAATCGACTTTAAGATTGAATACTGTTCGTTATCTCCATATTTATTGTTATCGTTCACGGTAGCTCAGTCAGTAGAGCGCTCGCTCCGTGATCGGGAGGTCGTGAGTTCGAATCTCGGCCGCGGCTCACCTAAGTCGATAAAAAATGGGTAGCAACTGTTCCTTCGCCATGCCCTCGGCACTTTGAAGTGAAAGTTGCGTGTCCTTCGGATGAGACCATAAAAACCGAGGCCCCGTGTCACGGCTGGCGTTGGCACAATAAAGATCCCTCACTGCTCAATGGCCCTGAGTGCCGAGTAAAGGTTAAAATTTGAAGCCCTTCACCGGTATCTGGTGACGTCTCTATATGAGTGAAAAATTCTCGAATGGGACGTTAAACAACATACAATCAATCAATATTGTTATTATTTTCGTTAAGTTGTAAGCATTGCAGAAAAATTTAAAGAAAACTTCGTTTTCCAGTAAATTTCTTTGTTTATTAAACAAAGGTGAAGAATAACCAATATTTGAGAGCGAATTTCTCAAAAAAAAAGCCCCAATTGACCCTTTTTGATGTTAATCCATCTGAGGAAAAACAATGATGTATTCAAAGTCAAAGTACTTTATGTAAAATATATTTTAATCATAACCAAAGTTTTAAAGCTCTGTAGGTATCGGTCATTTACTACATTGTAGATCTTGACTTTGAAGTGCATTTTAATGATTTTTTTTTCTCGCAGCAATTATATATAATGGTCATATCCAATACAATGGAATATCACAGACAGCATACACTGTGGTGGACTCTTCACAGTTTAGTTGAATCTCCCTGAAACACACGAGAAAGAAGTTAAATACATTCATTAGTTAAATCCACACGTTTAAAAATTAATGTCACTTGGCCGCCATCTTTTGGGGGAAAACACAATTCTCACACTGGTTTTCATAACTTTCAGGTTTGTAACTTTATTATTTGTTATAATTGTTGCATCTTGTATTTCAATTGCCCCAGAATGAGGCTTCTCATACATCGATAGAAAAGATTTAAACACAAGTGAATTTATCGCAGTGTGTTTAGATGTTTGGTAAAGAAGAGAAGAGAAACACTGTTTTTTCCCAGTTGACCCTTTAGTTGACCCCGCAAAGGGAAACAACTTCTGCTTAGTGTGGATTGGACTATTACAGAAAAAGAGACGGCATATGTTAACAAACCATATTTTCCTTGAGATGTCAAGATTAAATATTAACAAACCTTCGTCGTGCTATTCTTGGATGGTGCTTCAACTTCAAAGGTAAAAACAGGATTTGATTGGCCATTAGGACTGGTAGGATCAGGTGATAAGGAAAATGTAACAGTGTCAGACATTCCACCATCCAAGAAACTGCTGGTTGTTGAGACAGATCTTAGCAAATGGTTAGCTTCTTTAATCTGAGATGGAGTAGGAGATGGGATATCGTCGTCTTCATCGGAAGAAGACTCACGGGCCAAATCAGGTTGACTTCCGACAGCTCCTATCATTGCGAGCGAGGCAAAGCTAGACATGCCCGACATTATGCTACTTGTTCGACGTCTTCCTGTAAACAAAATCCTTCCTCTTTTATCACCAGAACTGAATAATGTTCTCTATAATTTTGAAATTTATTTTTGATTAAAATATAATCCATTTCAATGCATAATTACTTGTATAAAACGTTACCTATTGGTGCACAAGCAGCAATTTCCGGCTCTTTTGCCCCGTGCTTTCGACAAAGTCCTTGAAGCTGCCGAAGTTCAATCTAAAAAAAAAATTGTAAAGTATTTACCTACATTTTTTTAAATTAAATATACAATTTTTTTATATGCACTATGCTTTTGATATCTACAGCTTAAAAAACCTTCATTCATAATTCGTGTATTTTGAACACCGCTCTCCTTTCCAAAAATTGATAGTCACCCAAATATCATACAACTTGTATGCACTTATATGAGAAAATATTTGTTTAGCTATGATTTTGGCAGTTGTAGACCCGAGTACACGTTTATGTATTTAGGCTAGTCTATTTAAAACCCTGCCCAACTGATCTTGGTTGATAAAAAGCTGGTGCAAAGGGACAGAATACCCAAAATTTTCAAAAATGGACAAAACATGTTATTAGTTACACAGTCAGTTAGGGACATAATACGGAGTCAATACAGGGTGTGAAATGGAAATCCGTATTGGGTGAGGCGAAGCCGAGTCTCAATACGGCTTTCCATTTCACACCCTGTATAACTCCGTATTATAGGTCCCCAAGTGACTGTGTAACGAATTTACCCCAATGATGACCTTTTTAGATGTAAACACGTTGTATTTCAAAATAAAATCTACGAGCATATTATCAAAATATTAAGTTTTAATGCAATAACAATCAACATAAAATATCATAACCAGAAACAACAAATCTAATTAACAACATATGACTACAATCATGAACATGGTATTAAGGTCTGAAATAAACTTTAATTGCAAAATAACCGTTTCACATCCCATTTTGTCGCCCGTTGTGGAGCAGTGGTTAGAGCGTCTGCTCCAGATTAAGTTGATCCTAGCGTCGCGGGTACGAATCCCACGGTGTGACATGCAGACCGGTCCTTCTGATGAGACCATATAAACCGAGGCCCCGTGTCGCAGTAGATGCTGGCACGAAAAAGATCCCTCACTGCTCAATGGCCCTGAGTGCCGAGTATAAGTGAAAATTTGCAGCTCTCAACCGGCAAGTGGTGGCTTCTCCATATGAGTGAAAAATTCTCGAGAGGGACGTTAAACAACAAACAAACACATCTTATTTCCATTTATGTTGAAGTTGATTGAAAACTGACAGTATTAAAGATTGATGTGTTCCTTTGATCGGTTTGCATTGCTGTGTTTGAAACATTAGAACTTCTTTTTGGGGAAAAGTCACCAAACAAATCATTTAGACAAATTCCTTCAAGACACTTTGCATCCTCATGAAGAATGTTGATCTACATCATTGTTAGTAGAGAGTGCAGCTCCAAAATTGCTAGTGGATGGTAAGGCAAGTTTGGCTTTAGTATTGCTAATGGATGGTAAGGCAAGTTGCTTGTGTACACTAGCCTATAGGGAGTAATGCTTCCGAGCTCGAGATGCTTTGCCCCATCTTCATCATCTCATCCTCATCAACTCTCTGATATATATACATGCATTTAGAGACTGGAAAGATTATGAAATAAACGTCAAAAGTTTTAAATACACACTCCTGTGATTTTTCCTGTAAATAATCCCTTAAAATGTTTGCTGCTTTGATGTTGCTTTTTATCGTATTTTCAGAATTCACTTTTGTTCTTTTCTCAATCACTTCTATCTCGGTCATCTGCGCAAACCGTTTCTTCGGATATTTCCGTCATTTCTATTTACAACGAATCGCGTGCCCGACTTTAATACTGACCCTGGACGGAGAGGTATTCTCTTTAGAGAAGTGGACAGGCTTTCGCCTACATCCACTTCTCTTCGCAAGCCTTCATGTTTTGATTCTGGAAAACGTGTAAATCTCGAACCGGTGACGGTCTACACTTCAACTGACATTTCGTCTAAAATACGTCTGAATGTACATAATAGACGTGTTATATTATCAATTTTAACATAAATACACACAATTGTCACAAGAAAACTGACCTTTAAGTATTGTTAATCCATTTTCACAAGTTCTCCATCCCGGATTTAAATTATGTGCAAGTAACTCTTGAAGTATTCAAAAATCTCTAATTCGGATAAAAATGGAAACTATTTTTACAAAATAATAATGGAACGAGAGAAATCGTCTACTCTGTTTAAACTAACGAGACAGTATTTCCTCAAGTTTCGTTCAAATTCTTTTGATCTTTGTTTTAAATCTTTTTTCATTTCTCGGGAAAGGTAGAGTTAATATCGTTTAAAAATAAAAGAAAATATTTTTTAGTATTGTCAGTGAGGAAGTAATGAAGTATTTTTTAAGTTCAAATTTACATTTAAATTGTATTAAAATAGTAAAAATAAGTATAGGTAATAATATTTATCTTGAATAATATGCTAAATCAAAAGTGAATTGTCCAAAACATTTTTTGAACATTAAAATACGTCTTCGCCAATTTTTCCAAATTATCCGACTTAAAATTTTCAATTTTTTCTAATAAGCTGTGGTAGATAAACATTAGTTTAAATCCGGGATGGAGAACTTGTGAAAATGGATTAACAATACTTAAAGGTCAGTTTTCTTGTGACAGTTGTGTGTATTTATGTTAAAAGTGTTAAGATAACACGTCTATTACGTACATTCAGACGTATTTTAGACGAAATGTCAGTTGAAGTGTAGACCGTCACCGGTTCGAGATTTACACGTTTTCCAGAATCAAAACATGAAGGCTTGCGAAGAGAAGTGGATGTAGGCGAAAGCCTGTCCACTTCTCTAAAGAGAATAGACGGAGAGGTACATGTAATACGGAAAATTTCAGGATGTCATGTGATTATGTCAGTTTTATCCAATCTGTAATCTACAAATTTGTCTGAAGCGGGATAATATGGATCACATGTACAACCATCATCGTTCGATAGGGCAAAGTCATGATGTACATAAATTGTCTTGGGTTTTGATATTTATACCGAGGTTTAATTATAATATACTGCAGCAAAATTATCTTTATTTCAAAAGGAAAAATGTTTTCTTGCATGACTAAATCATTCTTACTCTATTATTAGCTAATAGCAAAGCCTCAGACTATTTTGAAAATTGATTCTCGTTATTTTGTAACCAGGATGTAATAAGCACACTGGTAAAGAGCTATATTTAATTAGTTATAAAAACGTGATGTAAATTTTACGGTAGTTCTATGAACGGCACTAAATTCCTGAAAAAGTTGCTTTCATATTAAGATAGATGTAAATTAAAATTCTAGCAATTATGAAAACACATAAAAAAATTATATGTCAATGAAAAAGGTGAAGATAACGAACAATGATTGAACTAAACAAGACATCCTTTAACAAAAAATCCTTTAACAGAGCATTATACTGAGCATTGTACTGCACCGTAGTAAATTTGGAATCAATGGTACCGAGATTCATTACACTTTACTTACTCTATATTGTTCTAATTTGTTTGTTAGTTCTTTTTCTCGCTTGACGAGTCGTCTGTATTGCTGTTTAATTACTTTCAGTATTACCAAGTCCTTTTCTTTGATCACAAGAACAAAACCTGAAAAGAATCGATAAAAGTCGATAGAAGTGGGAATCTGAGGCACAATCTTGATTTGATGTACCAGTGACTGACAGTATTTATGGAATTTTTTTTAGTATAGTAGACAGACTGGCCAAGGCAGTGACATATCAAGGCACATCAGTGAATTTACGACCAACAAACGCATCAAGGATTTTGAAGCAGAACATTATCAGAACCTACCTCAACGTGGGTGGCGAGATGTGTAGGGACTAAAGACACGGTGACATAATGATATGTTTCTGATGGTATTTTTTGATGTCTTTTTAAAATAACGTAGATTACACTAAGATACCTAAATCGTATATGTTTTTGATTTCAATGGACGGTGTTGGCAAGTAAGTAAAAACAAATTTTCGTTTAGTCCTCAAAACGGTACATATCCTACACTGTTGGTGTAGTTACACAGAGTTAATGGAAGCTCATACGTAATATAAAGATTGTTAAAGACTTAAGAGTATGTCTTGACCTAACCCAAGGTCTTTCCGGCAGTTTCGAGGGCCTTAGCGTAAATGTCCGGTCTACGACTTCTTTATGAAGAAACACTGGAAGTTCATACAAGGATGATTGTTTCCGTTGAAATATTGCCGACTCGGCGTTAAACAATATCAATCAATCAAAGATTGTTTATGACCTGAAGGTCTGTCATAACCTTAAATTAAGGTCATTTCATCATATTCAAGATCACTGATAGAAAATGTTCAATTGCTGTCTCGACCTATTTTTTAATGGAGAACATAAGACGGAGGTCCTTACTTACCACAACTATTGATCTGAAGCTATTATTAACTATGACCAAAGGTTCAAGGTCACTGCCAAAGAAAGTATTTAAAGGAGGCTTGAAAGTTGATACTTGACACAACTATTGATCTGAAGCTATTATTAACTATGACCAAAGATTCAAGGTCACTGCCAAAGAAAGTATTTAATGGAGGCTTGAAAGTTGATACTTGACTCAAAAATTGCTAAGGACGGGGGTGTGCCCCGATCTAACCCAAGGTCAAGTTAGCAAGTTCAAGGTCACTGGCAGAAAATTCGTGTCCGGTGTAAAACTTTTAAATGAACCAGTGTATAACTTTCTAACGGATAAACATTGGAAGTTCATACTTTAAAAAAATATTAGTCAAGTCTTGAAGGTGTGCGCTAATGTCGACTTCAAGTCATTCTGGCAAGTACAAAGACACTGGAGAAAAAGTATAAAATATTTGTTGGAAATTGAAACTTCAAACAAAGATTATTTGAGTGGTAAAAGTCATAACCCTGACGCAAGGTTATTGTGCAATTAAAGTTCACCTGCAGTACTAGTGTTAAATCAATATCAGGTCCATAGTTTTCCAATGGAAAAACACTGGATGTCCATAATTCACTCGATGATTTGTTATGACCAGATGGTGTGCCGATGTGTCTTTCTTTTTTCCAAGGTCATGCCAGCAAGTACAAAATCACACTTACAAAAATGCGAATACGCACATAAAAATGCAGCTGGGGTATTATTTTGTGAGATTACTCATAGTACCTCTATTTAAGACCAGTAGACTTGTACGATAGAGAATTCATGATAAGGTATCTTCTGGAAAACCATTAAAAATTATGACATCATATGCTAAACATGTAGCAAAAAAGCCTTCAATCCCCTTTTTTCTTTTAAAACTTTGAAGATTCGGTCTCGCCCAACTGTGCTTGAGACTCACATGTACTAGTATTACACGATTGTAGCGTTTCATTAAGTACTTACTATTGACAATCCTTATCACTCTCCAGGGTAGAATGATGATTAAAATGGTGGCCGCCTCCGATCCTGGTTGAGCCCAGATTCCTTCGTAAAACGAAAGATCTAGGATCCATGATACTGTTACAACGAAGGCGTCAAAAACCTGAGTGTAGAAAAGAAAAGGATTTATTTTTTACAAAAGTAGTAATGAACATCAAAGTTTAAGTGGTATTTAGAGAATTGTTGCATGTACTATTAGACATTGCAAGAATAATGTTTTACATGTAGTTAATATAGCTGGTAAGCTCCTTCATATAGTAAAATGCGTTCTTGCACTGGATCAAACGTCTATGTTTACTTATAATTTCTTACCTCTAGTCTGTGATTTAGGAAGTGACTTCCCATCGCAAATATTTTCAAGAAGGTCTGAAATATTGATTTAATAACTATTAACGTTCTGATATATAGAAATATAATGGGAAGTTTATGTTTATTTCCATAGGCACTCCCCAGCTTAATTGTTAAAAAATATATATCTACTATACTATAAACATAACAAGGCATGAAACTAGCCTCCATGTTGGATTCCGCTTAGGGGCACTTTCTGACTAATAGCGAGAATTTCTCGCCCAAGTTGGACTTTTCTCAGACATCGGAAGCTGTCATTTATTGAAATAAAATCAAATCAGGTTGAATCTCGCAGTACGTCCGTCGCATTCACGCGTTTTCTAGCATTTCTCTGCAAACCAGGTCTCCTCGGCCGGAACTTAAAGGTTTATGGGGGTATAGATAATTCGATCATCGTTTACCTTCAAAGTACGAGAACGACATTCGGCGGAAAACTAACATTTAATTTTCAAAAATGAACAAAATGTATTGTGAAATATATTTATTTGTATATCAATAAGACATTCAATTTTTCTTTGCATTTTTATTACTTCTATTGATAAAAAAAGAAGTCTAGCAGATACTTGAACTTTGAAAATATATTGTCACCCGGTTAGTCTATAAGTCGGCAGAGCCAATGGGTTATATATATAAACGTGCTACTACCCCACACGCACGCTGCACGAACGGTACACGCTCGCTACACGGTTTGCACGAAACGCTGCACGATTTACACGAAACGCTACACGGTTTGCACGAAACGCTACACGGTTTACACGAAACGCTTTGCACGAAAGGCTGCACGGTTTACTCGAAAGCCTGCACGAAACGCTTTATACACGTTTCTCACACGCTTTGTACACGATTCTCGCACGCTTTGGCCTCGATCTGGATTTTCTATTCGGAATCTCTCGGATTTTATTTTAATTATTATGGATTAATCAAAGATTAGTTAAGAATTGCAATCATTTAGATTAAGTTAAGATTAGAACTCGCTACACAAGTACTGTATTAACAGACAAAATATTCAATGTTAAGTTGTAATTAATGGTTGTCATTGAGTATGTCACCCGCCCGGTGAAATGTCTATAATCGTCCATGTACAAACCTTTTTCACTAGACTCTACATTACGCACTGAAAAAAATATATATTCGTAATTCATAATCTTTTACAGCATTTAATGTGTTTACAATTATAGTTTGATATTAAACAGTCGTTTTATTACTGACAAATAAACCCGTGAAAAAAATAATCGATTAAATTGCGTATGATTTCTGTAAACGGATTGATTTTTTTCTTCTTTTTTTTAAATTATTGATTGATTGATTTTTTTTTATTTAGTAAATAAATAATCTCATTTGATTAAATTAGGTTCTGTTTATAATTTGCAAAGGTAATATGCACACTGCATCAAACAAGAACATTGTGCAGGAAAGGGGGGGGGGGGCTAGATTACCGAGATCTTACTTCTGTACATGGCTAAATATAACGGGCACTTTTTTCAGAAGTATATCATTGGGGGAAAAAAAATATTATAGAAACAATTGCCCGTTCTAAGAAAAAAAAGGATATCCATATCTCCAGCGGGACCAGATAGATGTAATTCATTAAATGCACTTTATTCAGAATGGTAAATATATCGTTTCACTATAGAATTAAACTTTGACTTATCATTAAAATTTGATATGGTAGAGAAGCCGGGGGATAGGTTTTATAATTCTTTAGTCCTCTTTTAAGGCCTTGTGTTTATCAAATAAAAACAATATACCCGACACCTTGTAAAGTCCTTGATTTCAAACCCCGTCTAGATAAAAAAAATGTAACCAATAGTAGCGGCTCTTAACAGTACATTCAATATACGTGTATACATGTCCAATGTCCAAAAAAAAACTAAAAATTATGCTCTAGAACTGCGTGATTTTTAAAACAACTAATAATTATATAATTATTCAGGATTTATTTCTTTATATCTTTAATTCACGAATACACTGGCAAATTAATTCATTGTTTACAGACAATCGGATAAATTTAAGAAATAAAATCCACGGGCACGTGTATTTATTTGTACCCATTAAATACGAATAAAACCATTTAGTTTCACGAATTAAAAATCATTCATTATTGTCGGGTGTCATCTTAGCCATGATTTACAAGAGATTATACATGTAGCAGAACAAGTTTTCAGTTCACGGCACGCGGACCCCGTGATCCCTGTTGTAAATGACCTTGATCACAGTCGTAAGAAGAGTGTCGGATGTGTAAAGAAGATTCCAATATATTTTTAAGGGGTGCATCGGGCGCACACCGAAAAAAGCAATAATTTTCATTAAAAAGAAAATTATCTATTAAAATTTGTTAACAACAAAAACTCAAAGTTTGTGTTTTCATTTTAACACCCCCCCCCCCGGAAATATTTAACCCTGTATTTGCCGATGCATGTGAATTATGATTCCTTTGTCAGACAATTATTAATCAACCAATTTTATGCATAAAAAGACTATAAATGATTTCAAAATTATTTGTATTACAATCTTGTAATATAAGAAAATTATGTTCGTTTATAAAGAAAAAAAATAATTGTCCTCCCGGGCCTAGAATTCCCATACTTCACATTTATAACAACGCACTAAATTTTGTGTTTTATTTTTCATGCCTGTCGTATCTATCTATTATTGTGTATTAATCACCCATATGTTCTTGTAATCTCTATATACCATAGTTGTAAAATGGTGAAGAGATTCAAATAAATGAATGAAAAGGACCGGATTCCTGAAGAATTTTCTTTTTAAAAACTATTCAGTATTGCTCCCTTTAAAAAAATGTATTGAATCAAATTCCCTAAAAATTGATACGCATATAATTAATTACTTTGAATACATTTTCTGCCCATGTTGATTTAAACAAAAGAAAGAAAGAAAATCAAACAAATATGTAATACATTACCGAGAAATTTTATTTTGTTGTTTCCGTATTTTTTTATCGCTTAAAATACCACTGGTATGATATATCCGAATAATATTAGTAACAAACAACACAGAATGACATGTTAATCCATCCATAGCCATACTTAAAATAAAATGACTTCCGAATGAATCCTACACGTTTCTCACACGATTCTTGCACGAAAGTCGCACGGTTCTCACACGGTTCTTACACGAAAGTCGCACGTTTCTCACACGCTTCTCGCACGCACGCTACACGGTTTGCACGAAACGCTTTGGAGCTTACACGAAACGCTGCACGGTTTACACGAAACGCTACACGGTTTGCACGAAACGCTGCACGGTTTACACGAAACGCTACACGGTTTGCACGAAACGCTGCACGGTTTACACGAAACGCTACACGGTTTGCACGAAACGAAAAGCGCACGAAAGCCACACGCTTTTTTGGGGTAGTAGCACGTTTCAGGGTCTATATATATATATATATATATATATATATATATATATATATATATATATATATATATATAAGCAGTCTTGAAGACAGTGGCAGATTTATATCGGGGGGGGGGGGGGGTCACCTCCTTTCAAATTTTTAAGAAAAAAAGGAAAAGGGGAGGATTATTCAATATAAGAGAAAGTCTTGATAAAACTTATGCTTCAATACTAATTTTAACTACAAGTATTATGAGTTTCTATTGCCACTTAATCTTTTTGACCCCCCCCCTTTGAAATCCCGGATTCATCTCTGGAAAGTATACTTGCATACATGTAAATTATTAAGTATTACTTTTATTGCAAAATGAATAAATATACAAGTACATGAATATTTTATCCTGATAGCGGGACTTATTTCTTATAGATGGTGTCATACAGATATACTATAATAAAATGGGACAGTTCTAAAGTTTAATACAAGTTCAAAATTTTCACTGAAATATTATATAAGTGTTTTGGATGTTTTAAATATTTTGTAAGGGTAATTATTTCTAAAAATATATTTTGGCATGTTCACATCACCGTGAATATTTACAAAGCTGAAACTAACTTCATTAGCTCACTCTTTTACAGCGTTCCACTGAGAATGATAGCACGTATGGTACTGATTAGTTTTGACCAAAAACCAGCTTTAGTCTGGACAGTTAACAAATGCAAAGGCAGCTAGGTTAGGAGTTATTTAATGGACTATAGTTTATGTCATTACAATGAACTTCCTGAGCCCCGCCCCGCGCTGATTTCATGCAACAACCACATATAAACACAATCATATACACAAAGTGCTAAACTATTAATTTCTTCATGTGCAAGATTATAAAGTGTGAATTTGCACATGACAACTACAGTAAAGGATTCAATTCGTGATGCGTAATTCTGAGGGGACAACTATTTGATTCCGATAGGTGTTGGCAGATTTTGGAGAAAAAAAGAATCTGTCCTTAAAATTGTGGGAAAAAAAATTATTTTCCAATAGGAGGAAAATGAATTACTTGACTTCGAGTGATGTTACCCCCCCCCCCCCGAAACACACACACACACACCCGCAGACACTCTAATTTTCTCATTTTTTTCTTTATTTTTTCCTACCCACTTTTTTTGGTGTATAGTAGACATAAAAAAAAAATCCCTAACCATCTTGGAAATAATAATCTGTCCTTCAATGACATGAAAATAAACATTTTGAATCGAAAAAAATGCCACCCCCTTTAGAAACAAATTGTCGTCCTCTAAATTGTATTATTCTGCATTGGTGTCTCTGTACCATCATTGAACTAAAAAAAAGCTGTCTTATCCTTGTATAATGTATATAGTTCTTTTTCTTCCAATACATTTCACAATTTTCGTGCAGAACTTACTTCTGCAAACATCCGCTTTATTTTATTATATTTATTTACTAAACATTTTACCACCCTCCCCCCCCCCCCCCGGTCAAATCCATCTGCTTAAACGTGTCCCTCCCCCTCCTTTCGCCCCTATAATTTTGCCAATACATGAATATACTAATACTATGCAATAGAAAACAAACCTACTTTTGGATTGTCCTCCTTTAATAATATTTTTTCTTGTCAAAGAATTGTTGTTCAGCTGAACCCCCCCCCTCCAGCACACACACACACAAACACACACTGAAACTGCTTTTTATGGGCCTGAAAATGTGTGTTAAATCTTGCAAGGTCCTCTTGATGTAAAATTATATTTATTTCACAGTACATTCGTTTGTTATGAAAAACAACGTTAGCTTTCCATGAGATGCACTTTGAAGGTAAACGATGATCGAATTATCTATACCCCCATAAACCTTTAAGTTCCGGCCGAGGAGACCTGGTTTGCAGAGAAATGCTAGAAAACGCGTGAATGCGACGGACGTACTGCGAGATTCAACCTGATTTGATTTTATTTCAATAAATGACAGCTTCCGATGTCTGAGAAAAGTCCAACTTGGGCGAGAAATTCTCGCTATTAGTCAGAAAGTGCCCCTAAGCGGAATCCAACATGGAGGCTAGTTTCATGCCTTGTTATGTTTATAGTATAGTAGATATATATTTTTTAACAATTAAGCTGGGGAGTGCCTATGTTTATTTCACTCTGTAATAAACAGTAGCTCTGCAATATTTCATCGACGAAAAATTTTAAAAATAAATCTTATATATTCGTGTATTCCTGAACTGTATGTCGAATTAAAAGAGATGCCGCATCGTGTAGAGGGAAAATATAGTAACCTTCATTCTTCTACTCAAACACTCAGAAGTTGACGTCCTTCAGCATACCCTTTACCATTAGTTATTTTTGTTAAAAAGATAAAGTTAATGCGACCTCAAATCAACAAAGTTTAAATCCTTATTGTGGTTACCACAAAATGATAAGCATATGAACACCCAGTATCTCAGTGAACATAATTATATAAATTCTTCTTAAGAACAAGAGATGTTTGTGAAACACTTATCCCCTCCAAAAAATAATTGGAATTTTTTTTTTAAGTCCAAGCGGCATAACTCTGTGAAAATTTGCTCGATCGTACCCAAAACTGAATCTGCCCTAGTTATTCTTATGATAAATCTGTATACTAAATTTCATTTCAGTATGTGCAACCTCTGCGAAGAAAATGAACGGAAACTGCAAATAATTGGAATTGTTCTAAGTCCAAGGGGCATAAATATGTCAAAAATTGCAATGCTCGATCGTATCTAAAATAGAACTTACTTATGATAAATCTGTATACTGAATTTCATTTCAGTATGTGCAACCTCTGATAAGAAAATGAACGGAAACTGCAAATAATTGGAATTTTTCTAAGTCCAAGGGCAAAACTATGTCAAAAATTGCTCGATCGTATCCAAAATAGAACTTGACCTAGATATACACCTGTACTTATGATAAATCTGTATACTAAATTTCATTTCAGTATGTGCAACCTCTGCGAAGAAAATGAACGGAAACTGTTGGTGGACCGACAGACAGACGGACCGACCGACCAACAGACAGCAAAAATTGCTGGATCGTTCCGAAATAGAATTTGACCTAGATATACTTATGTTTGTTTGTTTGCTTATTGTTTAACGTCCCTCTCGAGAATTTTTTCACTCATATGGAGACGCCACCACTTGCCGGTATAGAGCTACAAATTTTGACCTATACTCGGCACTCAGGGCCATTGAGCAGTGAGGGATATTTTTTCGTGCCAGCACCTACTGCGACACGGGACCTCGGTTTATACGGTCTCATCCGAAGGACCGGTCTCCACGTCACAGTGGGATTCGAACCCGCGACGTAAGGATCAACTCCTTACTCCGCGACTCTAGAGCGAACGCTCTAACCACTGCGCCACTCGGGCGACTAGATATACTTTTGATAAATCTGTATATCGAATTTCATTTCAGTATGTGCAACCTCTGCGAAGAAAATGAACGGAAACTGTTGGTGGACCGACAGACCGACCGACCGACCGACAGACAGCAGCAAAGCAATATGCCCTCCCTTCTTCGGAGCGGGGGGGGGGGGGGGGGGGCTAAAAATTCAAATTTGAAAATATATCGGAAATTTGTTTGACTAAATTTTAACCCAGTTTCTGACTTGGATTATTGGCCTTTTGCAGCGACAACAAAAGGATATCTTTAATAACTACCACGAACCGGGCAATGTCTTGAAATGGTGCTTCCATGAAAGTTAATGGAATTTGTTTAAAATATTGTTCAAGTGAACATTATTTTCTATCAAGTACAATGTACTTCAAAGGATGCACTAATAAACTTGATTCGGTCCTCTGCTGCGACAAGCTTATTGAGTGATTGCTTAATTAAAATATGCACAGGAACTCTGGAAAAAGTAGTTCTATTGAAAATTAATTAGAAGTATTTATTACAACATATGATCTTCCTGACATGCATTCATATTATAATTCAATTATAAAACAATGCCCAGCATCTACTGCATTGATAAGATAAAAAAAAATGTCTTCGTCATCTTGTATTTACTGTGATTTTCTTGTACATTAAGCATTCTAATTTTTAAATGTTTCATGAACTTTAATGTGATAGTAATTTTTACTATTTTGTTGTTCTGTACCTCAAATACAAGAAGCGATAAAATGACCAGACTCCCAAGATGGAAGGCGTGTGTAAGGGTTTCGACCAAAGTGTGTTCTGCATGTGCGTGGTCGCCAGAACCGGAAGCTCGCTTTGATCTGTGATGTATCTCACCTTGTCTTCTTGTATCCTTCATTTCATGTAAGATGGAAAAAAAGAAATTATATGCATCTCTTGCAAAGTTGTAAATAAAAGTTTTAGTTTTACTACACTGAAATTGTAAATCTTTATGACACAATATATACCCAGTAATCCATTCATTTACTGTATAAGTAATCCGCTTGTTAGACTGATAAATTTTAAGTACCGGTATTCTTAGAAACTTTCTCTTTAAAAACACTCGCTTGGTTTATGGGATTGATTATAGATTGATTATATGATTTATTGTTTTTTCCTACGTCAGTATAGTAGGTAAATCTGTGTTGATTTTCTTGACTCTGGAAGTTGGAACTGTTTGATGAATAACAAGAATGCTTCTTAACACTTTCTATTGCCTGTTCGAGGGTAGGCGAATGCCCGTCCGCCGTAGTGTAGTTGGCTTCCGGACAGACTTTCATTAATACAGCCACTGTGCTTTCCTTTAGCATATCGCTGTCATGTAATTTTTCTGAAAATTGATTTAGTATGTTATAATGAAGAAAAATGCTAAGTTTAACATGAATACATTTTAAAACGATGTGTGGCGGTTTCATGTACGTGCTTAAGATTAATATAATGTTTTGAATTCTGCAGTTGGGTTAAGCAATAGTAATTATACTGCAATTAATGTGAAAATGCATTGAACATTCGTTACACGCGTAACAGGGTATTTTTAAGGATTTTTGACCCCCTTTTCCTGCTCAAGAACATAAATTCGTGGATGATCTTCACAATGTTCATGAGAAAACAGATTTTTTTTTTTACATTCACTGTTTAGTCAAAAAAATAATAGAGATTTTTTTTTCCAAGTGAATTTGTTTTTGAGACTCATCCCGACAAATTTCATTGCAATGCTCAAAGACAAAAGTTATCATCTTAAAACGATTTTATGAAATAAAAGAATTTCTTACCTAAGCCTTTGTTCATTAAATTGATATTGTACTTCATCCATGCAGTAAACGGAGAAATGATATTACATATTATCACGATTTAAAGGCTAAAGGATCTGGTAGGGATATCATTAAGAAAGTAAAGGGTTACAGATTCCGATTTGTATTGTTTAAATGAACTATGAGCTTGAATACTGTTAGTTATCTCCACATTGTTAGTGGCCCTTTAATACCCCCAAATTTATACACTATAACCAATTGTTTCTATTTTAATAAAATATAACAAGTAAGAAATCTCTTTGGATAATGAAATATATTGCTAACTATAAGTAAACAATTAGACTTTAAACTTCTTAATTATTTCAGACCGAATTTCCTCTGTCCGTTTTCTTATTTTCACCAATTTTTTAATCCAGTATTACAAAAATCTGAATGATAAGAACTCCAAACTTTTTAAAGCCTCAGGTTATTTCTTTGCCATTATGCTTTTATTAGAATTAATTATATGAGGTCAATAATCTTGAGATATGTTGTCTGCAATGGTTTTGTTCATACTTTTGAAATTCTTCCTTGCATGCCACTTTACTATTTGAAATAATACATGAGCTGTAAAGAATATAATGTTTGCAAAATGGTGTTAAAAAAACACATATAACCTTCACTTTTTTAAATAATATTGCAAAAAAAATAGAAAAGAAAAAAAAGTCCAAATTTCCTCTGCATCACCAAAAACTTTTGTTTTTATGTATATTCAAATAATAAAATTTACTGAATCTTTAAACTGATACTGAGTTCAAACATGGTTATTTTCTCCATTTAGAACATTTTTTATCCAACATATTGTAAGTTAAAGCATTCCATTTCTGTCAACTTAAACCATGAGTAAACGTCATCCTTAAGCCACGAAAATTGACTCAAAAATTTGATGATGACTTAACAGTATAGTGTAACTGCGGATGCCGTTTCCTCCTATCCGTGTTTGAACGAATCCATAGAGTTTGAAAATGAGTTTTGCTGTATTATCTGCATATTGTACGAAACCCGGTGTTGAGTGACACCGTATACACCAAAGTGCATTTTCACATAACCTGTAAAAATGAAAGATTTATCTAACTGCTCAAAAACCGTAAGTGCCGAGTATAGATTTATCAAAATTTGCATTTTTGGCTGCCTTCCAGTATAATTAAAATATTCTTGTAAGAAAGGGACGTGAAGAAAAACAAAAGTATTTTTATATTTATTTTTTATAATATTTTTATATAATTTTATCCTTAACCAAAGTTTACATGTAGACCCTAACTTTACGGTTGCATATAATGGCAACAGGTTTAAATTGATTTCCCTTTGCTACCAGTATACTGTGCTTATAACCAAACAGCTAAGACTATAAGCAATATGTTAAATAGGGCTATTTCCGTTTATAAGTAGAGAAGCTCCTCAAAAATGGTTCATGTGATAACAGTAAAGCCTTTTCTTTGAAATCCCACATTCTTGGAACAGGTCGAGACCACTAGATTTTCTGACGTCAGCATTAATTTGCATGTAAATTAGCTATCTGTCAACTTTACCGACTGCTGAATGAGTCGCAATGCATTATGGGCTACAACGTGTATCAATACGAACTCAGCTGTGTTGAAAATACAGGGCCAATTGAATTGTCCCTTGGAAATTCATGTTTAATTCTTTTTTTATATTTATGAAAGAAATATTGAAAATGATGTATAATCTTTCTTTCCTATGCTCACATTTACAAAATTTGCTTTATGAAGCCTTATATCAATACATCGGCGTAAACCATTGTTAACAGAGACGTAGGTGCTATTGTGTCGATAAAGCATTGGGTGTGGGTTTTTTTTCACGTGATATACATGTACATAGTTTTAGACAGCAGTACAATGTGCGCAATAATTATTTAACTCCTCGATATCATCAAAAAAGTTTTATGTACACTCAAACATCAAAGCGTTTGTACGGTATTTGAAGCAACTATTAATCATCTAAAACAACTCAAATATTAAATGTGAGCGTGGAACAGTGTCTTCGGAATATAATTTTTCAATTTCAGCCTTATAAAGTAAAAAAGAAGCTTTACGGTTTTTCCGGTGACCAAGTAAATATTATGTAGTAAACCGACGAAAACCACATGTCGCTTTTGAATGGTAACCACGTAGTGGACCGTCATGCTTTGCGACTCATTCAAGTGATTGGAGAATGGACTTGACGAAAACTTCGTCACGTGTTGAAAAGTGCCTTCCATAAAAGGTAGTGTACCCGACCTGTGCAAAAAAGTCTGCATCGAGTACAAGTCTGGGTCCACATGAATCCGATTAACCCACTGACCCACACTCACCTGACATGATGAGTATATCGCATATGATTTGTCCCAGAACACAGCCAGCATCCAGAGCACTGAGGACACAGACGGTGATGAGGACCACATGAGTATGTAGAAGCTGTGATAGTCGTTTTCGACATCTATAAAAATTTATTTACAATATGACTTGTCAATCCAACTATAATATTTGAATATCGTTCATTGTTATGTAAGTTGATTTCCATGATATTGTTTTCTTAGATACATGAAGGAAAAATTTATAAATTGTATTGAGTAACCGAAAAAATTCATAAATAAAATAAAAACAGGCGAAAAAGAAAATCCATGTATGATGTCTAATCCTTCAGCTAGCAAGAATTATCTATCTTAGCCCAAATGGTGTTGCTTCAATGTGGAATGAATTAAAGAACAAGTGAATATTTGTACATAAGAATAGATCAGATTCTATTGATATATATCAAAGGTAATTGGAAGGATTCTTTAACTTATCTGTATCATAAATCCCTTTTAAGTGTTTCATTTGCATGAAAACTTCACTATGAATGAAGAATTCTCTCTACTCTCCCTTTAAAATGGAGGATCAAGACAGACTCTAACCTTGAATGTAGCCCTTCTCTCCTTTTTGAGATTTCCATTTGAGAGGAAATTTGGCTTTACCGTATGCTCTTAAATTTGACTTCCAATAAAGAAGTTTACTTATATTTAAACACTGATTTTACACACTTGTATGCACAAAAATTCTGATATTAGATTATAATTATATACTTGTTAAAACTGTTGCGCATGTATGTATAAAGTAGCAAATTATTCTTTGTTATGCTCGCTGTATACTTTGAAGGGATAACTTGATAATATAGGGAGAAATAATTTAAAGGTAAATTATTGCTTGATTTCTCAAAGTTTAAATTTAATATCAAGTTGTTCATTAAACTTCTATGAACACCGATATATAAGGAGAAGACTAACGTGTCACCAGACCTCTCTCTCCCCTCCAGAAAAGCACTTGTACTATAAACTAAAATTTGTTGTAATTTGATTTAAACAATGACCTCAAAATATAAACGCTATATCGATATATCAACGAGTAAAAATAAAATAAACAAACAAAATATTAATAACATGGTTTTAAAGTTTTATTGAATTAACCAAATAAATTCAAGTCAAAGGTATTCTGACGTGAACACTACAGTAAACTATAGTTTGCTACGGTTAATTGAGTATCTCTCCCTTTGATTTTGATACTTTAATTCACTATAATAAAAACTTTGATTCACTTTAGAGAAAACTTTGATAAACTATAGAAAAAACTTCAAAACTTTGATTTGTGAAAATTTTGAAGTCTGAAAACTTTGAAATTTGATTCAATTTAGTAAATACTTTGAAATTTTGATTCACTATTCAAAGTGAAAGCTTTGATTGACTATAGTAAAAACTTTGAATAACTATGTATTTCTGTTTTGGATTCCCATCGTGACATTATATTTAAACCATGGTCTAAGTTCATAACGGCTTCCGCGAACTATTTATAAACTCCAACCTCCTAAAAAAGGAGAACAAACGAATTTTATTAGGAGGTGGTCTCGCCCACCAATAGACCGACAGATACGTTACATTAATTTAAAGTATTTAAATATAATGCTGATGTAATGTAAGTTTTATTGTTATGGAGAGAGAAAAATATACTATAAAATGAAAGTGGGTCTTTTAGAAGTAAAATTAATACCTGGCATGCTTCGTCAACTTCATTTAACATGCAGTTCCTTAAGTTGAGTTATAAATGGAAATGTTGCGTTTGCATTAGATAAATTTAAATTAAGGGATAACCCCTCCCCACCCCCACTTATTAGTGTAAACTTTGTAAGTTTGATAAACTATACAGAAAATTTTGAAACTTTTATTTACTATTATAGTGAAAACTTAGATACCTTTTTTCTGCAAAGCAGAGCGACACTGTCTGTCCACCTGTCACACCTTATATCTTGAGAACTGTAAGAGGTATGAATTTGATATTTCGCACATACATTGGCACAAGGGCATTTGTAAATTACCATGGTTACCGATCTCGTGACTTTTGATTTTGATCTTTGGCCTACTTTTCAAAATATCTCTTAGTGCCGATACGCAGCAAAATTTTGATATTTAAGAGGTACGTTTATGCTATTTAGCATGTGCACTATTTGTCATAAAACATATTAAAAAGACCAGCGTGACAGTCCACTTGACCTTTCACATACTTTCCAAAAATTTTAATTTAACTGATGTCTTTTGAATTTTGAAAGGCAGGGTTTTTGAGAATTAGCAGTATACATGGTTATGAGCTTATGATACTGTACTTTGAAACTGTTTGGTATTCAGTTACCACACAAACTTATATTTAAATACTATGAAAATACATCGGGATCTGTATTCCACAATGGATCGTGTATAATGACAATTGTAGTAATGACAGACTGAAATCTCTTTTGGGGGATTTTTGGAAACGCTAATGAAATGATAAATAATTATTTCTAATAATTTTCATTTAATTATTCATTTGAGGGTTGGGCATTTTCTTTGATTGTGAGATTCTATCGCAGTTTATACTATCATTGAATGGTTATTTCTTTGCAGGCAAATGCAAGAAATATGAAAATAACGAACAGTATTCAATCTCGAAGGTCCAATGAAACGATACAAATTTGGAGCACAGCAAACACGGACCTCAAAATTTAGAGGTGGGATCAGGTGCCATGGAGGAGTGAGCATCCCCTGCCGACCGGTCACACCCGCCGTTTGCTCAATGTCATGATTGGGAAACAAAAACCGGAAATCCGGTAGACAGTTCAGTGTATAAATAATGGCCTAACAATTAGTATGATAAACGTTAGTCAGCATTTGACTCCATGATAGGTTGTATGTACCGACAAGGTCATTGTATCGACCGAAAATCTTGCAAAAAGATTACTTCAAACGAGACTGTTGATATCCTTGTTTCGTCAACTTGTTTGACAATAGCTTGTCTCGTTTTAGAAATTGTTCATACGCAGAGCATGCTCTTGCGTATCGAACATATGAATGAAAGTAACTATTGTTAATTGATAATACGTCATCGATATATCGAAGTGTCGGGTTGAAGGCCACAGCAAGTGTTTTCTTCTTCTCATGTAGAAGTTTTTGAATAAATTCTGCTTCATCTGAATACAAAAATAGGTCTGCTAATAAGGGGGCGCAATTAGTACCCATGGGAATTCCAACAGATTGTTGGAAGACCTGATCTCCAAAAACTACATACATATTGTCAATCAGAAACTCAAGCAACTTCAGAGTACTTGTATGTACAATCAGAGTGCTTTTTAAAAAAATAATTTTGTAAATGACCAATGACAAGGTAAGTATATTAACGAGTTCCTCTTTTATTGAAAGAAGCAGCTGTCTATGATGTTAAAAATCCTGGACTTCAATTTATCGAGGGGAATGGTTGTATAAACTGTTGAAAAGTCGTATGTTTTGATGCTATTGATTTTAGTAAAATTTTGTGATTTCAAATTTTCCAAAAGTTCTTTGGAGTTACAATGCTAGTAGTAAATAAATAGCTGACCACTCATATTTATTTGCATCTTTAATGAAGCCACAAAGCAGGCGACACATGCGTTCCTTGGAACACTCTAGCATTTACTACAATAGTGAAAACTTCGATTTATTATAGTGAAAACAAATTTTGTTTGTTGTTTAACGTCCCTCTCGAGAATTTTCCACTCATTTGGCAAAGACGCCACCACTTGCCGGTGGAGAGCTGCACATTTTGACCTATACTTTGAGCAGTGAGGGATCTTTTTCATGTCAGCATCTGCTGCGACACGGGACCTCGGTTTATACGGTCTCATCCAAAGAACCGGTTTCCACGTCTCACACTGGGATTCGAACCCGCGACGTAAGGATCTCCTTACCCCGCGACTCTAGAGCAGACGCTCTACCACTGCGCCACGCGGGCGACGAAAACGAATTTTGATTTCATATAATGAAAACTTTGATAAGTTAACTATAGTTTACTATAGTATTTTTGTTAGTGATTAGTCAACCACTAGTATTAAAGTAGGTCCACCAGTTCGCTGTGTGCAAGTTTTCATTCTTGTCAAGTTAACACTTATTGATTTCCTTGTCCAAATTACTATAACACGCTTTTAATATTTGTACATTATTTTACGCTTTGGGTTTTAAATATTGTGGAAAAAATGCAGTGCAATTCAATAAGTAAACAATGTTGAAACTACGGGAACCAAAATTATTTTGTGCAATGTTCTCTCTGTAAAGAAGCTTGCTAGTAACATAAAACGGTGTGTCAGCAAGTTTTCTAAAGCGTTTAAAACAGTATTTTAATATGTACCGTACACCTCACGTGTATTCCGAAATATGTTTTTCACTCTATATACTACGTATTCATTCTTTTGCATAGTAAAGCTATCCACAGTTACTGTATTTATAAGCAGGTCTCAGACTAATTCACACTATATACAAGGTTCATGGTAAATTCAAACAACATTGGCTGGAAAATTTCTCATTGTCAAAATAATTTCTACATGAATTAACGTATTTAGAATTTACATAAGGGAGGAATAAGAATTATTTCGACACGTGCTCTTGAAATAAATCACATTACGTAATATGCGCTTTTACCTCTGTGCCTTCGATTTCTTCCTGATTTTAAGTTTCCGATTTATTCTCAGTGTCTTATCCTGACGCATCTGAACGCCATTGGGAATGCTTTCATTCGTGGAAAATGCGTTGCCATTCTGTAATGCACCGTGACCCATACCCAAGATATGTTCCTACGTTAATTTGTCACTGCATTTAGCAATAAATGTAACGCGAAGTCTCTTTACATATGGCAGATAATATTTGAACAAACTAGTATAGATTTATAACATTTAGATCATCCGTTAGCTTGGATAACTATAAATATGTTGAAGTAGATGGTATTTCTTTGTACTGAATTCGGGACTGGATCTGAATAATCTAAATGATGTCAATAAACAAGGAAATGTGGTCAAAATCTGAACTATTAGACGTACGTCGTAAATATCTAGACTCAAGTATTGAATGTAGTTACATACTGGTAACTGTCTTGATAAAATACTCTCGTATTTTCAATTTAAAAGAAATA